AAGTAAAAGAGCATTTGGTTACCAGACCTTTCATTCGGTTGATCGGATTCGCGCCCAGTTTAGGAAAAGAAAAAGTGCGCAGATTTTCCTGATGTTGCAACCTCAAAAACGGGCAGCGAAGCGGATGTTAAGTCGCTATCAAGGTCTTACCCACTTCCTATAGCCTTTCCCAGTGTTCATTGGTCCCACGTGGTCTTGAGACGAATAGTATATAGTATGCGTAATAGTGCTTGTATTGCCCTTCGCTGTTACCCTTTAAATTTGTAAACCTAAGGCATATCCAGTTTTGGCCTCTTTCTGAAACTTTCGACCACATCCCCCCCCCACCCCGAGTTAAATTTGAAATTAAACAACACAGCTACTGCACTGGTACAGATTAAACAATCCAAAAATGGGGTCTCAAAATTTTAATTCTGGTATACCGTACAGTAGATCTGACTGACTCAGAGAGAGAGAGAGAGAGAGAGAGAGAGAGAGAGAGAGAGAGAGAGAGAGAGAGAGAGAGAGAGAGAGAGAGAGAGAGAGAGAGAGAGAGAGAGAGAGAGAGAGAGAGAGAAAGAAAGAGAGAGAGAGAGAGAGAGAGAGAGAATGAATCATCCTTCTTGTTTCGATCTCTTTACCACAAATTATTGCCAGTTATTTATCCACATTCTTCATTTGCCTGTCTCCTCAGCTCCCTTCCCACTTCATCAGACTGGCTGGTTTCTCTTCTTACCACATTCGATTGTTATAGAATATTGATTACAACTGTGCTAATCCATATCTCTCGATTTCTAAAACTTTCTTTTCTTGACTTTCTTCATTATTCATTTTATTATTTATTTTTCTGCTCTGGCTAGCAGTTCTCCAGAGGCAAGAAAGTCAATACAATTTATAGATTATCCTTAGAGTCACCATTTCAGTTAAATCAAAAATATTACTTTGTATACAAATTAATAAGATACATTGAAAACTAGTGTTCATTTGTAAATATTTGTGAAAGTAAAGACACTCAAACTGCTTTTTGTGAAGTTCGAGCCCGAAAATGACCTGACAAGGTTATCTGCAGTAATTCTTAGATAAAATGTAATCTCACCTCAAGTCTGACATCCTTTCCATTGACTCCATACATTTTGATGAGAGATTAAAGGGTCTGTAATGACAGATTCTTTTTCTGGGATGTTATTTCTTCCATAATGCTCTGAATGAGTTAAATGTTTGAGGAATCTGAAGCCTGGATTCCACTACTTGGCCGAAGGTTTCATGCTGAACAAATTGTAAATAAAACATAGATATATGGCAAAGGGCATTTTGCTTTCTTGTTTATTTGGGGCAGTCAAGAAAAGAGGCTTTTGGTATATCTCTGTTTTGCTTGTTAATGTTAATGGTTAAAAGCAAAATAAATGTGCTAGACATCTAAGGTCATGTAGCACTATAGTAAATGTTAGTAAAGGGTGGTTAAGTTAGTGGTTAGTTGTCAAAGCTGGGCAAAGGAATTGGTGAGTGAATGGGTTAAGGTCGGGTGAGGTAATGTAAAGGGGTTAGATTAAGTGAGGGATATTTATGCGTTTGAGAGGAAAACAGGTTGTCGAAGCTGAATAGGCTGGGAAGTTAGTGAAGGGAGGATAGGTGGGGTGAAGTAGAGGTACAGGCTGCTTCAAAACGTGGGCATGACAATAGAATGTGTGGATCTGAAAGAGGAACATAAGGAGCATAGGGGTGGATCGGATTGTGACATCAGATAGGAGTGTGTTAGACGGATGTGGAAGGGGATACTTGTGATATAAAGGATAAACGTGTGTATCCAGGAGGGAGTGGAAGGGATAGAGGGGATGGTGGGAAGGTTAATGTGGGCGGGGCTGGTTAATGGTTAAAAGCAAAATAAATGTGCTAGACATCTAAGGTCATGTAGCACTATAGTAAATGTTAGTAAAGGGTGGTTAAGTTAGTGATTAGTTGGCTTAGTCTCAAGGTTGGGGAGTTCCCCATCATTGGGTCCCAGTCTCCGCCTCCTAAGCCCCCCCCACAACAACAACGGGCAAGGGATTGGAGGGGTTCTGTTTTGCTATTCTCTCTATTATTTGCCAGACTCAGCCCTGGCCACCTAACCTCCTGGATTAGTTACATCATTTGTACATTTGCTGAGTAGATGTATTTAGTCTGGCTTCAAAACAATTCTGGTGATGTTATAACTGTACAATAATATTAACCAAATTTTTATGGCATCATGGACTATACCATACCTTAATATTGCTCACAAGAAAATACTAGGCTCTAGAAAAGGAAGACAACATCCAATTTGCCTAGTTACCAGGGTCTGGCCAAGAAGATAATCCCCAACATGAGTTCAGTTGAGTCTGATGCTAATAATAGAACCCCTGCTTAACCATTTATATATGTAAACAGTGATAATCACTCTATATATTTGTTGCATTGGCATTAAAATTCTATCAAAGGCAAAATAGCACAAACCAATACATTCTTTCCATTATAAGGTCCAAAGGTTGAATAATGAACAATGGAACACACAAATGTTTATTGTATGCTGAAAATAACTATACATATTGACAATACGATTTAGAGAAATGGACTTTGTTTTCAATCAAATATTTGTGATATATGAAATCTGCTTTAATAAATGTCTATGCCAAAAACAAACAATAAAAAAAAAGAAAAACACTTACAGTTCTGTGATTTACACAAAACTATTCCTAAAAAGTCTACCTTACATAGTAGGTCTTTGTAATATCCTAGTAGGAGATAATCATATTTGAAAATTATGAAAACTAATAACTAAATTCACAAGAAAAAGTCACAACGGATCTATTCCATAAGAAAAGATTTGATAAAAAGAAAACACGAAAGGAAAGAGAAGTTATACAGGGAGAATATAAGGCATTTCCTGCATATTTGGAAAAGAAAACGGAGTACCCACCACAAAGGACATTTATAAAGAATATATAATGATTAAGTAGCGAATCTTACGTAACGACATGTCTCACTGGTAAGCAAATAGTGGCTCAAAAGAGGTTGATCACTGGGACTACACCTCAACTATATATATTTAATCAATAATAATAATTTCAGAACTGGTATAAGCCCTAATAATAATCTCTATATATTTTACTTAATTGTTCATCTCTATTGTTAAGTTGGTGATAGCTGTCAATATAATTCTATCCCTTGTGAACCACATAATGTATTGATGGTGGAAATTAAGATGCAAGTAAGAATGGACATGAATGAGTACAGAGAAGAACGACAAAAGGGGTTTCCGGCAGGGTTCCAATTCTGGCCGGCTTCTACGACGTCATCTGTGGTAGACCGAATTCGTCCACTGGCATGCCATCTTTCACTGTCTCTGCTCCAGGCTCCTTGTCCGGGGCGCTGGGGATGTTGACAGCATCATCCAGGTAAGAGGTGTCATCATCGAGCAGTACTTCGTCACCTAGGGCATCCAATTCTGCGGCTAATTCGTCCTCATCAATTTCTGGGCATCCATAGCTTCTTCCCAAGGCCTCCTGTACTTCATCAGCTTGTTCCAACATATCTGCCATGTCATCCTGAAGGAAAAGTGTGAATTCATGGTATCAGATATTTACAGCAATATCAAATAAAAGATTGACTACAAGTTGATGTAGTAAGCACCAATTTACTTGTTATATAATGTTACATCTAACACAGTAATTATTTGTTTACAAATCCACACATTTTTCCAGTTTGAAGTCATAACATCACAATAATCTTAGGTTTGAACAAAGTTCACCTTGGATATTTCAACCACCCTTCTACTACTACCACAGCTAAACTAGAAAAGAGCAACTTACCTGGAGGTCTTCAATCTCATCAATGTTGATATTCTTATATTCCTTCTTCATCTCCTTTACACCGAGCTTCATCGCCTGGACAGTTGTTTTAGTATCTTTGAGGGTCTGTGTAGCATAATTGGCCTGCTCCATGTTGAAAGACTGGTTCCTCAGGTTTGTGGACTGTTGTTCATACATTTTCTTCTGTTTAAGGACACGCATGGCTTTTTGCTTGACTGCATTCTTGGCTGGTCCTTCACGCATCTGAGTAAATATTGGTATTTGTTATAGTGTATTTACCAATCGTGTACTGTTGAGGTATTGGCTGTCACTGCTATGATTTCCACAGTTGTGTAAAGATAATGCAAATTTTGTGGATAAAGTAAAGGCGTGAAGTATGAAAGAAAGTACTCATACATATTGAGATTTTTTCTTAGTATAGCAAGGTGGAGTATATTTAAGAATCGTCAAACAAGTCATAGCTGTTTGACAATGACTACTGTATACTTAAGCTTCAGGACAGCAATTTTGGTTTTGGTGTGAACAGCACAAGCACAACAGATTAATGGCAATTTGTCCTGAAAAACAAGTTGCCTCCTTACCTTCTTCATCTGATCCTTGTATTTGATGAGTTCTGCATCTAGCCTTGCAATCTTCTTCTCAATGGAGTCTGCTCTGCTGTCAACATTGCCAATGCAGTCGGTGAGATTTGGAGGAGGTTCCTTTCCCTTTCCGCGGCCAAAGAGGCGATTCATGGTGTCTGCTTATTAGTCTGTGATGAGAGAGAGAGAAAGTGATATAGTCATTCACTGGTACTTCAAGCCTCATATGATTTTTGGATATTATGGTACACCCATGATCCCATGAAATATAATCTTTAAAAAACAAAGCAAAATGGAAATAGATTCTTAAAAAAAAAAGTACACCATAAAAAAATCATGTTGCTCACATAAATAAGGTAAATGTGAAATAGTGTGGGAAAGTGTTATGCAAGGTGAGACATTTTGCACAAAGGCCTATTGTAACTGATTTTTGATATTTGCACATCCCAACTTTAATGCCCCTTTCCTGACTTTTCAACCTTTCAAAGTTTCCAACCTGGTATTTGATATATGCATGTATCATGGAAACTAATGCTAGCATAAATTTCAAAATAGTTTATGAATCAGACATGCCTAAAATCCTAAATCCTAGATTATCACACCTGTTGGAATGGAGTAATTAAAGGAATTACAATAGTTTCAGACAGTCATAACCCACAAAGTACAGCTGTCTAATGAAGCTTCCAGCCACACCAAAAGTATCTGTTTTGTTTTTTATCAGGCAATACTATACTGCTTCCAAGTATGAAAATGTTTGTTTAGACACTGAATAGATAAAATCACATTAACTTCTCAGTAAAATTTTCCATAATTTTACAAAATTTTTGGAGCAAAATAAATAGAGAAGACGAAGAAATAGAAACCCAATACTCTTCATTTCATAACCTAATGTCCGCACTCATGCGTCATTACTTTAAGAGGACAGCTCTCATTCACTTACAAAACATTTACTTAGCATGTATAAGCTAAATATATCTTGCATAATTCAGACAATAAAACACATGGGAAAACAATGTACACTTTTCTTGTACAGTAAACTAAAGATAGGGGTAGTAAAGAGTATGTACAACTCAAAAATTCCATGCACTCCATGACATGTATTCTTTCAACAGTGAGAAAAAAATGATGTGAAAGTGAGGAAGTGATAAAATAATCAGACGGAACTGTAGTGGATGACGTACAAGATGAAAATCAAGTTGGCTAAAGGGTATTGCACTTAGCCATGACATGACGATAGACACTAGTAACCATTCTATTTGAGGTAATAAGATTCGTAATAGACAATAATGTGACAATAGAAGCTGGACCCAAGGGAAGTCAGTTGATTTTCGAATCAGTCATGGCTGGACTGCGTATAAGGTGCTGTTTTGCCTTTAACCTGCATATCATCATGGCAACAATGACAAAGAGTGGCTGATAGTAGTTGCAATTCCTGCCAACAGTGACAAAAAGGACTTTGACAGCTAGCAGGCTGGATATTGTAGACCTATTGGTCAAGGTAAGAAATTATCAGTGCAAGTTCCAGATACTTCTACTGGAACATACAAGGTGAATAATTTTCAGACCAGGTGGGGGGTATGCCCCCCCTCTCTGCCTCCTATATACTATAACAATATCTAACTTACTGAAAGTTTTATTTCGATTATTCGTTTAACTCTGCAATTTCCAATATTGATCATGCTCTCCCTGGCTATCGGGGCCATTATCGTGTCTGTGCCTAGTTTGCGAAGGAAATGAGTGCTAGATTCATTCCAAACTAAAAAAAAAGGCCCCACTGAACATGACGGACGACAAAAGCAACAGTCTCACCTTGGGCCGAATACAACACCATCCCATCCTGGAAAAAAAATACAAACAAACACAAAAACCAACCCGACAGAAAAGACCCAAAACTACCTGAAAAGTGAAAAGAAGGAGACACACCCGATCGCTACCCACCTCAGGAGAGATTTAGTAGAACGAAGAAGGAAACGACTTCTTCTTCTTCTTTCTTCTTTTATAGGGTTTTAGACAATTGTCTAGTCTATATCCCCTGGATCTATTTTCTTTCTAGGAAACGTAGGTCTTGACTCACGAAGGTATGACGGAAGATCAACAATGGCTCCGCGGTCGACGTCCCTTGCGATAATCAGGAGTTTTTTTTCCCCGGTAGGTTTGTATTATTGGTGGTGTGGTCGATTGATTTATGTGTGGTTATAGTAGATTGTTGATTATGATGATTTTTTTTATTATTAGCTGGTTGTAATAATGTTTTAGCGTGCATGTGCTATTGAATTGTTTATTGTTATTTTGTTTATTTCTATATATTTATTGAATTTCATTTTCTTTACGCAGTATAGTGTATATGTGTCATGTATGATTGTTTACTAAGCTCTTGAATAGGTTTCGAAATGGACATGATATATTTTATAAAATGTATTTATTTCCTGAAAATATTTTCTATCTATTGAAGTTTCAACCCAGTCCATATTCTTAATCCAGGTCACAAATTTGGGAAACGTCATACACAAATAACAACCCATATAACATAGAACAAAACCATACAAACCGAAATTAAAACCAAAACCAAAAAACAACATACAAAAAATACAATAAAAAACACCGACCCTTTACAGAATCCAGAATGACTCGTCCCCGAACTCCAATACGCGAGCCGGAAATACGACGCAAACAAGCTGTCGCAGAAGGGCCTCGACGAGAAAGTAAACACAAACTCGGGAGGAAATTTTTGGGAGAATTTTTTTGGGAATGAGAGAAATCGTCGCCTCCGAGTCATCATGAGCGAGGGCGAGCCGACTACGAGAGACAGGGCAAGTGCTGAGTACTGTGTGTGTAGAAATTAGATGACGATTAAACCAATATAAGGGATGCCGGTATTGTCATTAGGACAGGGGAGAAAATATATGAATATCCATCTGTTCTTTATTATATTATTTATCTGTTAATTTGATTATACAATTAAGAGAATGTTGGTTATTTCGTATTAAAGTTCCGATATGGGAATGAAATAAATGGTTGTACTGGTATCTTATATGATAGTTTCTCTTATAACATAGAAATCGTATGCTTGCTTTTATGTATGACAGATATTGTAATTGAAAGCAAAATGGGTAAAAATAAATAATGATGTAATAGAGGATTCAATAAAGAGGTGATGCAGTGACTAATACTGTAATTGAAATCAAAATGGCTAAAAATAAATAGTGATGTAATACAGGATTGATTAAAGAGGTGATGCAGCCTCAGTTACCATGGACATTATGAAAATTGGAGCTCGGAGTGACTCCCTTTTATGTGATTAATTCCCAAAGATGTTATAAGATTTAACATGCCAAAATAAATGAAATGTTGAGGCTTGTATTTCACAGATCTGTGTGTTATGTGAGAGTTTCTGTGTTTATATATACTTGAAAGGCTGCAGCATTTTTTTTTAGATACGTTTTTAGTGTTATTACAAAATTGTTTGTTATGATCATTAAAGTAGTTTTATATATCTACATGTTCTTGTACAGAGTATTTTGAGATAAAAGTACTAAATTTGTTACAGTTGTCCTCTAGATTTTAATACAAATACCACAGTAGATAGTTGGAAGGTTATTTAGGAAAGTTTTATGTTACCAATACTAATGAGGTGCCAGTAATATTGGCATTGACATTAGTAATAATTAGTATGCTACTATGTTTGTGACATTACAGTAGAAACCAACAAACTTCCAATATGTATGTTCTTGCAAAGTAAAACTTGCAGACTTCTCATGATTTCTCATCAAATAAGGAACTAATCCACTCTACCTTGCTTGAATGTGGGGTTGAAGTTTAGTGCTTGATACCATGTAAGTTTAATTCCCTTACAGGTTATTAGAGTGATTTGTTTCATTATTACTTTTTTTTATATTTATCCTGTAATTTTCCAAAAATACTTTATGACCTCCTCCAGCTGATGGGGCCAGTATCATTGCTATATTTTTTTTTTTCTCTGATCTAATACTATTGTAAATGTATAGCATATGCCACACAGGCTTCCCTTAGTGTTTGCATATTTTCCATCAAGATGAGAGGCATTCATTTAATTACGTTACACTGCTTGATTATGTTTGATGTGGAATCAGTAGATTCTCATATATATTTTAGAAAGTAGGATTTTTTTGTATTTGTGGTAGAAAACTGATATAATGAATTCACTGACAGTAATAAGAAAAAAAGAATTAAGAATTAAGTAATTATTTCAGGATTGTTGTATTTGTAGAGTTATTATTTCTTAATAAAATGTGTGTTGTCATAAGTATTTGTAAGTAGGATATATTGAAGCCCATAGGATTGTCCCCTGACACCTAACTCCCTTCACAGGTGGTGGAGCTGCTGAATACAGCAGCTTTCCTGCCCTCGGAGAAAGAGAGGATCGGTCAACTGGTTCAGGTGCAGGAGCTGATCATCCACCGTGAACCTGATCTCCTCGACTCCTTCTTTGAGGAAGTGGCAGCTTTCCAGACTGATCGGAACTCAGATGTCCGAAAATTTGTTGTCGGGTTCATTGAGGAAGCTTGGTGAGTATATAATGCCTGGGGACATTCAATAGTTGTGGCGGTAGTTTGAGGGCTATAGATGGTGCTACTATAAGACCGAATTATAAATGTTTATCTTCATTTATAGCAAGAAAGATGTTGCTATGTTGCCACGTCTGGTGCCAAATATCCAGTTGCTGTTGCAAGACGAAGGAGTGGCTGTGGTGAAACGTGTTGTGCAGGCTGCAGCTCAGCTTCACCGTGCTACTCTGGCATGGCTGTCCTCTGCCCGCACCGTCACCCCTGAGATGGAGCAAGTCTGGCACATTATAACTTCCATTAAGAATTCCATTATTACAATGATTGACCATGATAATGATGGGTGAGTTACTTGCCTTCAGTGTGGTTGCATCTGATGCTGGTTCATAATTATTTTTCAACTCTCTAGCTATTGTTCACAAATGGTATTTTCTGTATGGATTAGATTGATTTGATCTACATATATGTTTCTGTTTACAAATGTGTGGTTATGTTTGATTTTTTATGTGATAGTTGAAGCTTTTAGTGTTTTCATATATTAGGGAATATTTTTTGTGATAGATATGAATGAAAAAAAGGGTTATGTGTGAAAATAAGGAAGAGTGTCTTTATATCCTGCTCTTTTATTTCTCCACAGAGTGAGGACACAGGCCATAAAATTCCTAGAGTCTCTAGTTCTGCTGCAGACATATACGGAGGCCGATTCAGTTGTTCGCGATGGGGAGTTCAACCTTGACCAAGTTCCTCTTACACTCAAAGTAGCTAGGCCAAGAAAACTTGAAGAAGAGGCCAGGTATGGTATTTGTTTAATTATTATTTCTTTATTATCTGAGTCTGATAAGAATACTGAGAAATGTAGCAAAGCAATGAGATAAAGAAAGCAAGTTTATTATGGTAGTTTAATTAGTGATTATGTATGTTGTTATATTTGTGTTTAAAAAAATGAAAGTTTGGGATCTCACTGCGAGAAATCCATGACATTGTAATGGAAATTAATTGATTATCTTCTGTTGTCTTCCAGAATGGTTCTCAACAAACTGATAGCTTTCCAAGGCTCCATCCATATCAGCTCTGTCAACCTTATGACATGTATGTCTTCACTGACCATCATCGCAAGGGCACGGCCACAGTTCCTTGGCATGATTATTAATGCACTTGAGATCCTACATGGTAAACGCCTCTCCCTCTCTGCTCTCTGTCTTTTTATGCTGTTTTTATGGTCCTAAAGTTTAAATATATTTGAATATTATTGTTGATAAATATTTCCAGTTTTGTTAGATAACGTAAAAGCCATACAGATATTTCTAACATGGCATTCTTTTCTCAGCCAATCTACCTCCTACACTCACCAAATCACAAGTAAACAGTGTGCGGAAACACCTCAAGATTCAGATGCTAAACCTCCTGAAGCATCCTGCATCCTATGACTACCATGAACACATTACAACAGTCCTCAATGACCTGGGCATCACAGCATCAGAGGTGAGCAAGGATTTTTTCCTTAATTTTACGACTTGGTATGAGCTTTATAGAACTTTTTTTTTTTTATTATTGTTTCATCACCCTCTTTTGGATTGTTTTGTTATAGGTAAACAAGTCAATGCCATCCAAGGATCAGATCAGGAAGAGGGTGCGCCGGGACAAATCATCGGAGGAAGTCTCTGAATCACCGAATAAGAAACCCCGGGTGGACCATGATGACAGTAGCAAGAACAAGAAGGAAAAGAAGGAGGAGGTGGAGGTGGAGAGAAAGAACTCTGCCATTGACATCACCCAGAGGTGGTTGGTGGAGAAGCTGACCCCAGATAATGTTGCTAGCTTGGTTATGGTTACAATGGTGAGTCTACTACTGGTCCGTGCTTATATTTTCCTGTGTCATTTTTCCTAGTATGTTTTTATATATGTGTTGATTGGAGTTATGCTAATTCTTTTTATCTCAAACAGCTGAATCTACCTGATGAAATGCCACCCTTGTTCAGTGCTGGATACAGCCCAATCACAGCAGCTGGCACAACACCACAAATCCAGCATGTAGGAAGGCTTATTGCATCACAGCTAACAGCAGCAGGTGTAGGGCCTGGGGTGGAGCAAGCCAAAGAAGAGGAGGTAATATATCTTTACTGGTATATAGGTAAACAAGTCAATGCCATCCAAGGATCAGATCAGGAAGAGGGTGCGCCGGGACAAATCATCGGAGGAAGTCTCTGAATCACCGAATAAGAAACCCCGGGTGGACCATGATGACAGTAGCAAGAACAAGAAGGAAAAGAAGGAGGAGGTGGAGGTGGAGAGAAAGAACTCTGCCATTGACATCACCCAGAGGTGGTTGGTGGAGAAGCTGACCCCAGATAATGTTGCTAGCTTGGTTATGGTTACAATGGTGAGTCTACTACTGGTCCATGCTTATATTTTCTTGTGTCTTAGTAGGGCATTTTTCCTAGTATGTTTTTATATATGTGTTGATTAGAGTAATTCTAATTCTTTTTATCCCAAACAGCTGAATCTACCTGATGAAATGCCACCCTTGTTCAGTGCTGGATACAGCCCAATCACAGCAGCTGGCACAACACCACAAATCCAGCATGTAGGAAGGCTTATTGCATCACAGCTAACAGCAGCAGGTGTAGGGCCTGGGGTGGAGCAAGCCAAAGAAGAGGAGGTAATATATCTTTACTGGTATAGAATAAATAGTCTCAAATGTGTGTCAATTTTACAAGAGTTATTAACCCAATGGCGCCGGGTGTACAAAAAAAAAAAAAAAAACGCTCTAGCAAACAAAGGCAGTGCGCTGACTTTGAGCGTGTGAATAGGGGAAATCAGCCCGAATCACTGGCTTGCCGCGGTTTGGCGCGCCGCGGCGGCGTAGAGCTGCATGCCAGCTTTCGAGCGGTTTGTTTTCACACCGATCGGCGTCACCCGGCGTTAAGGGATTAACTTCATAAGTGATATCATTGCATGTACAGTACATGCCATTTAGAGCCTCTTAATGCACTTGCTGGCATGACGTGATGGCTTATCTATCTACTTGGTGGTGATTGATTAAGATGTAGAGTGACCTACATTTTTTTTTTCCTTCCAACACTGTCATTGTTATTAAAATTATGCATCACCCTATTTTGGATTGTTTTGTTATAGGTAAACAAGTCAATGCCATCCAAGGATCAGATCAGGAAGAGGGTGCGCCGGGACAAATCATCGGAGGAAGTCTCTGAATCACCGAATAAGAAACCCCGGGTGGACCATGATGACAGTAGCAAGAACAAGAAGGAAAAGAAGGAGGAGGTGGAGGTGGAGAGAAAGAACTCTGCCATTGACATCACCCAGAGGTGGTTGGTGGAGAAGCTGACCCCAGATAATGTTGCTAGCTTGGTTATGGTTACAATGGTGAGTCTACTACTGGTCCATGCTTATATTTTCTTGTGTCTTAGTAGGGCATTTTTCCTAGTATGTTTTTATATATGTGTTGATTAGAGTAATTCTAATTCTTTTTATCCCAAACAGCTGAATCTACCTGATGAAATGCCACCCTTGTTCAGTGCTGGATACAGCCCAATCACAGCAGCTGGCACAACACCACAAATCCAGCATGTAGGAAGGCTTATTGCATCACAGCTAAATGGTAATATAATATGAATGAGAGAATGCTTCTATGTAGGGCTTCAAAGATGTGATATTGTGCAGCAGACTGATGTTGATCCCTGCACAGTGTATCAATTGAATGACAACTTCCCTTCCCCTTTTGTCCTTGAACTCGTGCACTGAGTGATGATTACCACCTATTTGCTGCATAATTTCATATTGTTGAAGCTCAAAGCAAAAACATTCGCTCATTCTTTTTGTGTTTTCATGTACTGTACACTTTTTTTTTTGACATCACAGATTATATTATTAAGAGGGCATACAGTGTGCACTCAAGAAAAATGCAGGGTACTTACATGTCAGTCCATCATGCCTTCTTACACACTGAATAAAGGGAGATGTGCAAGGCTACCAAGTAATCAGGATCTCTTTTTGGCTGAGATGTAGAGAGGATCTTAATTCATGCCAAACGAGTACATCTGGACAGATGGGATGACTGGTTATTTTGTGTTTCGTGTTGTTATATACCAGTTTACTATCATATCAAAATATTATTTAATGTAAAATGTCTGTTTTACCTGTAAGAAACTTGTTATCCAGTTATTTCACAAGGGCCATATTCTTTCTTTATATTTGTTTCACCTTTCCTACACTCACATTTCTCTGCCCTGCTGTCTAGGCAAAGACCAGCAGTAACATGGACCAAGAGAGTGATGAAGAGAGTAAAGAAATTTCTCGCCTTGTGGGGGGGAAGGTGCAGGTGCAAGAAGAGGATACAATGCAGGTGGGTTAATAGTGTGCAGGATATTGTTCTGCTACTTTTATGTGACACTTTGCAATGTTGGTATGAAAGGAAAATGCATGACTGAATCCAGTACAAAAGCATGAATATATATCACATTAAAAATGGCTAGAGTAGATCCAGAAATTTATATTTTGTGCAAGGTGAATACGACACCTGTTTAATTTATCTTCACATTTCCCTCCCTTTTGTCTCTTTATACTCTGATGGTGTTACATCAGAGCGGTCCAGTGCTAGTGCCAGCGGGTGTAATTGGACGACCCCTGAGGCACAAAATCAAGACCATGAAGTTAGCAGAGGTCACGAAACCACTCTCCTCGTCCTCTAATACCAAACTCCAAAGCCTGCTGTTCAAACGACTCATGCGCTGCGACAAAGTGATGCTTCATGGGGAGGGACCAAAGCACCGCATGAGGATCCTCACAGTTTTGTCCGGGTGTATCAGCCATCAGGAGAGTGATGGTATGATTGGCTTTACCTTCTCTCTTTTTTTTTCTCTTTATTTGGAGTATAATTATTGACCCCAAGTTTTATGTACTAGAAGTATTTAGATGATGTGAAAATAATAGTTTACCTTCCATTTCAAGATCACATGTTTAGCTTTGCTCTGTTTTTCAGCACTAGAGGATTTCATACTTGAAGACATGCAGAACAGGGCTGACCTGCTCTTCTCGTGGCTCTTCTCTGAGTATTCTGTAAACCACGACTTCTCCCTCATTAACAAAATCTTAAATGTTGGTGGAAAGAAAGTGCAAAAGAAGGACAAGAATTATCAGGAGATTCTTGGCAATATTGTAATCAAAGTTTTACTGAAACCAGCTTCCAAGGAGAGAGATGAGTATGTCAATTTTTTTTTCTTTTTCCTTAAAACATAATTAAGATTAAATCTTGATAATAATTTTATGTTTGATATTCGATAAACACTAATTTTGTCCAACCCTGCCATGTTTATTTTTCAAATCTCAAAATTTATGTAGGCATTTTCTAATAATCTAAAAAATATAATGCAGATTCCTGTCTCGGTTGTTTCTGGAGTGCCCCCATGTGCCTGAAGATCTCATACTGTCACTAGTGCGCGTCGGTAGTCAAGGTACAGACTCGATCACCTCTGTTGCCAATACCCTCAAAGATACTGCCGAATGGAGACCTCTCACGGCAAAGCCTGCACTGAAGACTCTGTCCCTCTTAGCAACCCATGATCAAGATTCGGTGAGTTGTGTCTTATATTCTTATTAGGAGCATGATGTTGCATAAGATCCATTTTATTTTATGGCAACAGGTTTTATTATGCTCCTATTAGATAATACAACTCGTTGATGATGATGGAAGATGATGACTAATGAAGTGGACAGTTTGTAAATAGTAATATATCACAGGGTATGGATAATATTGAATATCATATGGTTTTAGGGTCAGATCACAATTTGATTTGTCCTGAAAGATAAGAAATAGCCCTAGCTATGCCAGGTTCACACTAATCCTAAGCGAGAATAATTATTTTCACCTCCTCTTTGTAGGTAAGAGAAGTTGTAACTCCAATACTTTTGGAACTATGTGAGCACGAGAATCTTAGTGAGATAGTTACCGAGGTTGCTACAGTGTACCTCAAGTATCTTCTGCTAGAAACGCCGCCAGACTCCTTGTGTTCGCACAACTTCGGACGACCCAACGAACCCAACGAGTGGACGGAGCCATTGGTCAAGGCTTGCCTGTATTTGTATTTGGCTCTTTTGCCTCTGAATCAAGCCCTCATTCATGAGTGAGTTATTGTTATTATTACTATTAATTGTTATCATTATTGTCATTGTTGATGTTAATATGTTATTACTTTTATTGTTGCAAATATTTTTATTATTCTTTTATTTATTTTTTTACAACTTTATAATTACTTTTGTTATCAGTATCATGATATCATTAGTATTAATGTTATTATTTTCATTGTTATATATTATGAGACTGTTATTCAGAAAATTTGTTGAAAAGAAAGGAAGTTAAAATTAAAGTGATATATTTAACAAAAATATCTATAATATTCTATCCCCATCCAACAGTTTAGCTCAGGTGTACGTAAAGACAGTGAATGAGGCCAAGCGGGCTATCCTGCGGCTGCTAGAAGGGCCCATCCGTCACATGGGCATGGACTCCCCACAGCTCCTCAAGTTGGTTGAAACTTGTCCGAAGGGAGGAGAGACACTCATCACGCGGATAATTCACATCCTCACTGAGAAAGGTACAGATGTCTTTCTTCTTTTTTCCTTTTAAGTTCACTTTTTGAGAAAGAAATGGAAATCTGATTAGCTTCATATTGGGAATTTCACAGATCTATGATTTTTGTTTTCTCTATTTGGTGGATGAAGTTCAGTGTAGGGTAGTTTTAAATTAATTTTACTTCTGTATTGTTTACATAGATGGCTCCACAAGTACTACATCACCAAAGAGTTAATTACTGGTCCTCCCTGTCTCACCTGTTTACCCTTTTCCTTAATTTTTTTGAAAAAGGCTTCTTTGTGGTTTCTAATAAACAATGCCAACAAAGTGTTAGCATTAGGAAAAAAAAAAACTTATTTCCCCTAAAATTGAGGAATAGGGAAGTCAGGTGAGGTCACATTGACTACTAATTGACTCTTTGGTGGCTGAGCACATGTGTAACCATGTTAGCTGCATATAATGGGTTAGAGAAATATGAAGACATTGATCAAACATTTTTATACTGAGTCAGACAAATTTGATTTAGAGAAATAACATGAATAAAACCACTTCAGCCAGATTCTTCTTTAAGTTTTATTCTCTTTTCTCTCCAAAAAACAGCACCTCCCAGTGAAGCCCTTGTGTGTCGCGTGCGTGAGCTCTACAACCGGCGCGTGTCTGATGTGAGGTTCCTTATCCCCGTACTCACTGGGCTCAGCAAGAAGGAGGTGATTGCTGTCCTGCCAAAACTCATCAAGCTCAATCCACATGTTGTTAAAGAGGTCAGCATGTGTTCTAGTTTGTTAATGTTTATAGAAGGAATTTTCTTTGGTCTGATTATGGAAGTGATGTCTGAGTAAAGGCAACTGGATGTTAGATGTTAGTTTTTTTTATTGCAAATGTAAAGATGTATTTTTTTTTCTTCAGGTGTTCAACCGGTTGTGGGGAGTGACATTAGACACAGGTGCTTCTCCACTGACTCCAGTGGACCTTCTGGTTGCTCTCCATCTTATTGATCCAGACAAGTGTGATGTAAAGACAGTTATCAAAGGCAAGTTGTAGTCTACTTTATTTGCCTACTTACACTATAGTTAATGTGGATGTAGGTGTTGTCTTGAAGTGATAAGAAGTAATGGTAAAACTTGTTCAGTGCTGTGTCTTTAACATGAAATCATTTGTACCACACTAAACCTAAACTTATCTGTTAAACAAATTTTGTTTGACAAATGAATATCTCAGTATATGATATGATTTGGTAAATTTGAATAAATGAGTATATGAATTTATTATGTTGCAGCCACTGGACTCTGCTTTGCGGAGCGTAGCATTTATACAGCAGAAGTATTGGCGTTCGTGCTTCAGCAACTCATGGAACAGCCACAGTTGCCAACACTCTTCATGCGCACAGTCATCCAGACCCTGACACACTACCCAAAGCTACTTAGCTTTATAATGAATATATTACAGAGACTCATCATTAAGCAGGTGTGAAATGTAGACTGAATGGATTATTTATTTTCTTGTTTAGTATTGCACTAACAGATGATCATGTGAAATACTTGTTTTCATCTTGGGCTTTAGAAACATCCACTGTCTTTTCCTGTTTGGTTAATGCTTCATACATAAATATGAATACATATCCCTATGTTTTATTGGGTCATTAACATCTTGCCAATCTTTTACAAAGGTGTGGAAGCAGAGAAAAGTCTGGGAAGGCTTCATCAAGTGTTGTCAACGAGCCGTTCCTCAGAGTTTCACAGTACTCCTGCAGCTTCCTCCTGCCCAGCTGTCTGATGTCTTTAACAGTGCCTCCGACCTTCATTCTCAGCTCCTTTCCCATATTGCTACTCTCACTGAAAACCAGGTTAGCATGCTGGCTGTAACTTTTTTTTCAGAATTTGCAAAATTTCTTGATACATCTAGATATTTTTTTCTTATTTTTTAAAGTTGGTTGTTTGCGTGTCCCTCAAACACATATTATAGCTTGTATTAAGTTTGCAGAACAACTTTAAAACACTCACAATAAAGGACTATAAACATATTTTGAGAGCACATAATAATTCCCTAACTGTGTATTCCCCGCTCCCAACCCACAGCGAGCTCATATCCCAGCCAGCCTGCTAGAGGTTATTGAAGGGCACAATCCAGCATCTCAAGGATCCCGGCCAATCGATCTGCCCCCTTCTGCTCAAGAGGTAAGGCAGTGCTGGACAGGTCTAGCAGGTCTGTAAGCTTTGGGGAACCTATTTGATAGATTGTTTACTTCTTGAATAAAAGGGAGTATGTATTAAAATGGGACAGGGAACAGACTAGTATGCACCAAGCCTGATTTTGGACTTAAATAAACTGAAATAGCCTTATGATAAGAACCCTCTGAGTGTCTATATATTTATTTGATCTGTAATTCATTTGAGGACATCAAATTGTACAACATTTGTCTGCTCAGAATATTTAATTATTATATCTAATGTATATATGTGTAAAGTGATCTGGTTCAATGTTTTTGTCTTTTACAGATGTAATCCTTTTGGAAATATGCAGCATGTCCGACAGCCTTCCAGTGATGAAAAATTATTCAGAAATATGTAAAATCAGTAAAACATATTCCCATTCTCTCTCTTTCTCAAGTACCAACCCTTTTATTCACCAGCCACGTTATAATGGCTGCATCATAGCTCATATAGTTGTATGAGGTCAGTACAATTTTTATATTATTTTAACACCTATAAAGCTGATTATAAAGTGATATAAGTGAACTGAATTTTTTTTTATCCTCAATCCTTGTTTAGAAGTATTTATGTAGAAGTATTTTTCCTGTAGAATTTGCTCTACTGTTAGAGCTTATATACAATGACAGTATCAAGATTAATTTAAACATGTTTTCTAAATAAAATAGAAAGTCATCTTTAACCCAATGGCTGCTGGTTCCTGTATTGTCCACTGTAGTTTTTATGTAGATATTGTTGCACATGGATGGTTGCACAAGTGTCAACCACCAAGCAGTCAATTCATAACCACTACGTGATATTGCCTGATTTCCTAATTTCTTGAATTTTTGGAAAAAACGTTTTTTCTCAAATGCTATCAATATTAACCCAGTGTTGCTGGGAAAATGCTGTGCTCATTTTAGAATTTTTTGTGAAATATCTCTGCACATAGATGGCCCTGCAAATGCTGAGCCACAAAGGAGTCAGTTAGTAGACTTTGTGATCTTACCTGATTTCACCTTTCCTTGAATTTGCAGGAAAAAGTTGTTTTTTTTACTTATGTTATCAATATCGATGGTGTTGTTTTTATTATATACATTATAATTACCATAATGTTAAAGACACTAGTAATAGCAATAGAAGATCACAAAATATTATTGAAAATCAAGGAAAAGGGTAAACAGGTGAGACAAGTACTACTCATAATTGGCTCATTGGTGACTTAGTACAAGTGGAACAATCAATGTGTAAAAACAATTAATAAAGTAAACTCACAGTGGGCATGGCATGTACTATGCCCATCGGTTTTGGGTTGATACTGTTGTTATTATTTACATTATGATTATTTGAATGTTATTAAAATATTAGTGTCATTAAAAGAAAAATAAATAAAATCTAAAAATAAAGTAAGCAGGTGAGATGGATAGAATTAGTAAGTGACTCATTGGTGACTAAGCACTTGTGCAGCCATCTGTATGTAAATACAGTAAATAAACTAAAATTATACTAGACATGGCATGTATATCATATCATCCTGGCACTGTTGATTAAAACATTTGTGTTCTTGTTGCACCCACTGCCTCTGAGCAAATGAAAATGCTGAAAGGCTTAAATGGAGCAGGCCTTATGCTGCTGTTATGGTTGTCTTCATGCCATATTTGCTTGTAGCTTTGGTATAAAGATATATGAAGTAATCAGACCTTAATACTATTTTCTGGCTTAAAATCCTACAATCCACCAAGGAACAAGCCATTATGGTAAAAGGGGATATAACACATGTCCCCAGCAAAATGTCCATTTTTGGCATGGCATGACATACCATACTATTCAGAGGCATATGTTAAACATTAACTGTTCACTTCATTGACCACTCTGCACTGGGGACTATGGAACCCAGTACACAAAAGTCACAAATTTGCAATTTTGGGATTTGGTTCTTTCACATTTTGAAAAGATAAGCACAATAGCATGTACCAAGAAAAGGAAGATATTATTGCAATAATGAATTGACAATGAAATTCCAATAATGTTACCCTATTTCTTGTGTTACAAAAGCATGAGAACATTAAAAGATGAAAAAAAAATTGTGCCATGATTTTGTATGTAGTCAAAACTGCCTACCACCTCAAAAACAGCATGAGATATGTGGTTGATAAATTTTACTTTTCCATTCAGAAAGTGTCTTCGCTGAATGTAAATGGAGATGTAATGATACTACCTGTTCCATTGTTTAATTGTTTTTATGAAACATGGATAAAATTGTTTATTCATATAATCATTCCATTACAGTATGGAAAGGAAGCATAAGTAAGTATGAGGATGGGTCCAAAATATATACATATACAAATACCTTTATTTCTGAATGATCATATATTACAGTATCATGAAGTCTGAGATGTTGAATTATCCTGAATTAGTTTTGTAAAACATACTCCACTCTCAGAGTGATAATATACAAATACTTACAAGAAGAAAACACAAAAAGTGTTAGAAATTGACCCTGATGTAATTATAAATAGTAATTTCAAGTTAAGAGAATACCAAACATTATATATAAAATATGTTTACACTTTTTACATAATCTTTAATCTCATTAAACTTTGTATTTTTTAATAAAAAGGAAAAATACATAATGTATGGAACTTGCATAGCAAAATTATGAATTTGGAACTACCTGAAAATTAAATAGCAAAAGTTTCATTACTAAGCAGCAGTAAATATTCTCAGCTGATGTCTCTTGCAATTTCTTCTTTTTATTAAAGGGTGGGCAGACACTGAGTTATGCATAGACTTGAGATCCTCCCTCAGTGTTCTAGTTGGGAACCTAATCACTCGTGGCACAAGAGAGGCTGAAATACCTGAAAACTAGACGAGCACTCAAGTACCTTAGCCCACTGAGCCATTGAGCACACGATCTTGCAATTAAGCCTGATAAATTAAGAGAAATAATCTAACTGTTATCATTTTCCTCTCATTTTTTTTGAGTGCCTTATGCATGAAGCATAATATAGCACCTGTTACATAACTGAAACAATTCCAGCTGATGATTGCATTTGAGGTTCCTGAGATGCAATGAACACAGACATAAAATGTACAGAACATTAATTGGAAATACAAATGTGTATAAATAAAGTGCATTTATGTTTAGAGAGTGAAGTTTCCAGATTCTTAATTCAATTATGTGTAAGCTATCGTACAATAATATAAATAATACCACTTGTCAAGATATCTGATCTTTAAAGTATACATATATATAGAAAAAAATATACTCTCTTAAAGATGCCTGAACATATGTAACAACTCTTATGCTCTACCAGGATCAATATGCCTATTTTCTACCAATTTCATATTTTGTACCTATCTATTGTTTTAATAATTTCAACAGTTGCATAACTACATTGCAACTATATTTACATGGATCAAATCAACATTACTTGCCCTTGTGTTACAAGTCCATCAGTCCAAAATAATTTCTTTTCCATTTTGGTTTGTATTTTGTCTTTTATTGCACACTTGTTTTTTATTTCTCATTTTTAATAACAAGGGTCATCAATAATGAAAACAAGAATAAAAATAATAAATACATCAAACTTTAGTCTTATTCATTTTATTAAAGAAATACATTAACAGTCATTTCCAGTTCAGAGTAATTTTTGTTCCCAATGTGACATCTGGAAACTCCTTATGGTACTTGTAACAAATTACCCATGGCTGCATATTTCCATAATATTTACATAACAATGATAACATTTCTGGTATGTTTACAAACTGCTTTCCAATGTACAGCTGAAAATATGAGACTTTATTACTTGAGCTTGTACCACCACTTATATACATGCTCTCACTCTTGGTCAAAGTGCATTGAGACAAATACATTCATTTCCCAAATAGTTCTAAATGATTCATTATGCTTTTGCTTCAACTTCTTTGGACTGTTGTGTATCTGAACTTTTTTCTGTTTCTTCTGCGGGCGTCTCTTCTTTGTCTTTATTGCCATAGACATTTGGGTAGTTAGACATACAGTTGGTCATCTCCTTGAACGGCTCTAAACAGTCACTTCCTTTGGGGTCCGCAGTAGAGAAGTGGAAACAGGTAAAGGCTTCTCGGAACTCAACACCGCACGGACCAGTAGCCATTCCGCCGAGACATGGACATGCCCAGTTGATTTCTCCATCAGGTTGTATAAGTCCAGCTAATAGTAAAGAAGATAAGAAGGCATGAATGTGGTAATAATATTACAGCAAGCACAGATTATACAGGATTTGGAAAAGCTGTTAGATATAAATCATCTGAAATTATTACAAACAATCATTTGAGAGAAATTTCAGTGTATACATGATCTAAATATTGATACTTGTGATGATGTTGATAATAAAAGGACATGACATCACAAAGGAAATGCAACAGTCAACTTACCTGGCTGTTCATCATCTTCTGGTAACGAGACTTTTGAAGGTCCATCTTGGTCTTCTTCCGTAACAAATATTACGCGATCCTTCCCTGAAAAAAAAAAAAAAAAAATTGATGTACCAACATAAACACAAATATGCATTTGGAATTTGTTGTGTTATACAAGAAACATATAAATAAAAACAAAGAAACATGAAATTTAATGGCTTCAGTTACTAGCTCGATATTAAGAAATGTGTCAGGAACCAGCTTAAATTTAGCCAATAACATAATAGCTAACTTTCTGATCCAATATCAACAAGAATGCAAATGAACTAAGAAATGTTGATTACCTGTCAAAGGATTAGTAAAAACTTAGGTATGAGGTAGTTTGAACCCAGGTAGCCCCACTCCATCTTGATGCAAATCCTAGTTAGTAAGTTCCAAGCTATGCCCTGCCCTCTTGGCTTTGTCAATTACAAATATTGATTATTTTTCCTTGGTTGTGTTTTTATTAATTTTTCTACAACTATTACTGAACCATTTTCAAAGGAAATGCACTGGAAAATCATTTACCATAAAATATTGTACAAACTAACCCTGTCAATTAAAGGGGCTGAGCTAATAACATCATCATATTTAGCAAATGACAGTGTGCTGTGAAATATCAGATATAGCTAGATACATAAATATTTGTATAATTTACTCAATATTGTTATAATTACCAGAAGTAAAACCAAAAAAATCCCCTCTTGTATTTATGATAACAGATTCCCTAATATTAACCCAATGGTTATGGGCGAAGAAAACAAAAAAAAAATACACTGACGAACCATGGCAGCGTGACAACTTTGAGCGCGTGAGTTTGGTATATCAGGCTGAATCACAGCCAGAGTGTGTGTGTGTGTGTGTGTGTGTGTGTGTGTGTGTGTGTGTGTGTGTGTGTGTGTGTGTGTGTGTGTGTGTGTGTGTGTGTGTGTGTGTGTGTGTGTGTGTGTGTGTGTGTGTGTGTGTGCACGCGCACGGTTTGTTTTCACACCTAGCGGTGTCACCCGTTGTGAAGGGGTTAACAGCCTTCATAATACTCTTGGGAAAAAGCCAATTTCATTTTGGGTTCAGCAGGACAAATGAAAGTGGAGCAACCCGATTATATGTTCCTTGCTTAGGTATGATTATGGCTTAGTGGGAGAGAGAGAGCATAACATTAAAAATAGTACTCTGCATTATTAGATGATAATTTTAACTGATAACACTCAAGATAAAATTAGGGTAGATTTTAAAAGCCACCCACAAGAGCTTGCAAAATGCTCTTTATTACACAAATTATTCTGTCCACAACCACTTGTAACTTGCTGTGTTCAGGACTGGAAGACCCACAACACAAGTCAAAACCAACACTGTCATGTGCCTGCAAGCCTTTCTGCTCCAGCACAGGACACTTCCAATAGCTACATATATTATGGCAAGACAGCACTTAATTTAACTGCTTAATGACAATAAATCAATAGGAAGGTCTACATATTCTATATTGCCAGAATATATGTTATTGGCCTTTGCTAGACTGTTGATGGCATGGAAGCCAGTGGCAGACAAGCAGCTGTTGTACATAAGGCAATGGAAAACAATGAGTGTCTTGTATATATTTGCCCAATCTACTATGAATGACTGCAGGTTACCAGCTATATAACTAAATTATCATTTTTCTAATACATTCAAATGCTACCCGAAGTTTTCAGTCTTCCACACCTTTTCTGGATAGATGGCTTCCAAACATGTCATCTCTGCATGCATCTTGCAAAGATAGCACATTTCAAAGAATTTTCTAAGCTGTGTGTGTGTGTGTGTGTGTGTGTGTGTGTGTGTGTGTGTGTGTGTGTGTGTGTGTGTGTGTGTGTGTGTGTGTGTGTGTGTGTGTGTGTGTGTGTGTGTGCGCGCTTGTGTGTGCGTGTGTGAGATATGATATAATATAATATAATATAATATAATACATTATTATATAAATATACATATATATATATATATATATACATATACATATACATATACATATACATATGTACATATACATATGTACATATACATATACATATGTACATGTACATATACATATACATATGTACATATACATATACATATGTACATATACATATACATATGTACATATACATATACATATGTACATATACATATACATATGTACATATACATATACATATGTACATATACATATGTACATATACATATACATATACATATGGGAACATTTAAGACATTTTTATATCTATGACATTTCCTTTGTAAGTTGATATTAAGAAAGTTGTGCAACACATAATAGTTTGGTATACTTTTACATAAAGACCACACTAAGACCCAGAAAATCTAAGGACACAGTCATAAAATGAGGGGAAAGCTACACTCACTAATACGTGAAATAATCTGTGCCGGCAAAGAATCCCATCCCAAGAGTGCCCCCAGGGTTGCTGGCTGGAGGAACAGGGACTTACTCTCAGAGGGGTGCTGTTTCTTTGTAAACACTTACCAATGCTTTTACTTATTTCTTAAACAGGTCATTTGAGATGGAAAGTTGCAACAGATTCACTCTTATTACACTATGAATAATAGGAACAAAAAAATAATAATTGTAAGCTTGGATATATATTTTTTTAATTGGCAGATGACTACCTAGTAATTCATTCATTTAAAATAATAATCAAATTTTTCATACAAAACTCAATTAATCACATGAGTAATATTACAATTTGATATGGAGTATCATAGTAAAAATGAACACCCTATGACTCGAAAAATATTGAAAACAGTAGTTTAACTTCATGTCCTTAGAACTATCAATTGCAATTATGTAATCCAATCTGACAACATTATAATATGACTAATTTAATTTTTGGAA